TCGAGGCTTCTAGGCCGTAGCTTGAGTTTCAGCAAACTGCAGTTCTTAAACGCGATACACTACACGTACTACAGTTTAAACACTTTGTCTTATTTAGTTACAAATGCGTTAGACTATACAGAGAAGCAGCTGATTTACACAACACGAGAAGAGTTTCCTGTAAGATTTTTCCCAGAATTATGACCTTCGTGTTAAGTGAGTTATCGGCCTACTGACAATTTCCAATGTACTTCTCCGGCCTAATGAGCAAGCAATAGACTGCTGAACTGATGATGATGATGGCGGCGGCGACGGTGATGATAATAAAAGATAAAGAGTAGAGTACAGAGAAACAGAAATGAAGTTCCATCCGTTCTTAATTTCGACGCTAGACTGAGAAGTAAGCAGAGCTACACTCCGGCCATTTTGTGACAAGGAAACTGCCCCTGGTAGGCCTACATATAAGACGCGAGGCTGGATAAATTTCGGAAACGGTCTGTAGTCTGTACCTGGTAAGAATGCCTACCGCCCGTCAGCCAGCAGGAGACACTATTCCGCCTCATGCACTGTTACGGGAATATTTCCGAAGGAAACAGCTGAGGACATTATACATATAACGGGGAACTTCAAGACTTGCGGAAGTCATCTAGTTAATGAAATTAAGGAGACTGTAATGGGTTAGGCTTTTTCGTAACATAATGAAAATGAGGATGAGGTGGGCAGGTCATGTAGCACGAATGGGGGAGACGAGGAATGCGTATAAGATTGGTGGGAAAGCCAGAAGGAAAGAGACCACATGGAAGACCAAGGCGTAGGTGGGTGGACAATATTAGAATGGATCTTAGAGAGATAGGATGGGATGGTGTGGATTGGATAGATCTGGCTCAGGATAGGGACCAGTGGAGGACTCTTGTGAACACGGTGATGAACCTTCGGGTTCCATAAAATGCTGGGAAATTTTTGAGTAGCTGCAGAATTGGCGGCTCCTCCAGAAGGGCTCAGCTCCATGAGTAAGTAAGTAATGGGTTAGGCGTGTAACTCGAATGGGAGAGTCAATAAATGCATGTAAAATTTTGATGAGAAAACCTACTGGCAAAGTAGAGGCGAGGGCACACCAAAGAAACTGTCAACAGCAACCGCAACGCAACCGCGATTTCCGAGAACTGTTATCAGCCTGAGCTGAACACATGTTACTGAATGGAGCAGCGCAAACTGAGGAAACTGCGTTGGTTATAAAAATTCTCTGAAATTTCAGTTGCGTTGCGGTTGCCAGTTTCCTCTCTTGTTAGCAAGTGGCGCAACGAAGTCTGAGCGAAGGCAGGAGCAGGCAGGAGCTACACACCATCAGTGACGAAGCAACGGAGCGGCCAGACTGGAGGACCAGACCACAGGCCCCTAAATCTGGCGAGGCTTTCAAGAGCTCTTCTCCCCTTTTACAAGTTGGGAGAATGAAGGGCGCCGTGTCAGAAGCCACTTATAGCCGTCCTGTGGTCTGCTACAGCCAAGCGTGTCACACTGCTTCCGTGGTTGTATAACTCACCTGAAGTAAAGTTGTCCCGGTGCTCAAGGCTATGAAGGCGTATGGGGGAGTGGATGTGTAGATCCATATTTTCTTGACTTCGGCACTAGCTGTAGGTGAGTGGTCTGCTTCACGCCCCTGCCGCTTTACCCCTGGCGAAAGCGCTCCCCGGTACCCATTGGATAGGAGGTTAGGTGGACCCCAGAGTCGGTCGGGACGATTTGGAGAAGAGAAAATTCTTGGCCCTACCGGGACTCGAACTCCGACCCCACAGTCATAGCTATTGCCAGTCGCTATACCGACTACGCTACCCCGGAAGCGGCCTCCGTAGTCTAGAGGTACGCGGGTTCAAATACCCGGCGGAGGTCGTCGAATTTTTAAGGGCGGAAAAATTCAGGGAACAAGTCCTCCGGGAGGGACTTTAAGCTGTGTGTCCCGTGTCGTAACTTTACGGCACGTAAAAGAACCTCATATCCCCAAAGGGGATCACTGAGCCAAATTCCAGGACGTTTCCCGTCCAACAATAGTCTCTAAGGCCTCTGATAGATGGGGGAAGCATTATAGACACCGCTAAGCAAGTGGTCGAACTCGCTTGCTCGGCGGGACTGATGGTACGCACCATTTATCGGTAGGGTAAAGAGACTGGTAGAATATCATAGAGGGAAGCACAATAGATCAAACTGGTCGCGGTGCATGGGGAAACCCACCCTCTCTAAAATAACTAACTAACTAACGCTACCACGGCTCCTCGTAGAACTCACCTATGCTGGTTTTTTCCTTACCTCCTTCCCAGATGTTGAGCTGACAGTTAGGGAAGGCTGAAGGACTTATTTGGGCGCCAGTGGTCACAATGCGGGGTGACTACAGCTGTGCGATGCCTTCTGATAGGAACAGGTAGCGAGATGGCTGGCTCAGGGTTGGGTCTAGAAGAACAGGATCTCTGTCTTAACGAGCCTAACTGTAGCAGGACAGGAGGAACATTTTAGCTCAAGGCAACGACAATGATTGACGCTGAGCTGTGATGTATTACGCAGCACTGGCGGCGGATTGCACTGATACGTCATCAACTGCAGTTCCACTTTAACAATGCTGAACATTTCGTGGCAGTTTACGTTGAAATTATGGTCCAAATTTTCACCATCAGCTCGTAACGATTTACCATAAACGCTCCTCTAATACGTTAATTAAGAATTCCTGGGAGCGCAAGTTTTGCGTCCAAAGGTTTCGGAAGTCGGTATCAGAGTCTCTTGGAGAACTGCTCTGCTCTGAAGCCGCGAGCTTCTGAGAGCCCTCAGCTTCCCTCTAAGGATCCTCCCCTAAACCTGTCTCGTTGGTCTAGTTTAAAACTTTGGCCTGCCCTCCTGCCTAAAATTTATCGCTCAACTGAGATGTCAGGTATCAAATTTCCGAAGCTCTGCCGTCGTGTCGAAATTAACTAAATTTCTAGGAAAAGCGCTGATGGCTACATCCTGTTCGCATAGCAAGAATGGCCTTACATAACGTTCTAAATGCAAGAATGGGGCTATCTCCCATTGTGCAGAGCTTAAGACATACAGTTTAAATACAACAATTTCTAATAATTGTGGGCCTCCAACTTAATGAGCGGTTACAGTCTTTTAGGATATAAAGTCCGGTGAAAATCGAGCGACGTTTCGGAGGAACACATCGCATCCACCTTCAGAGTGGAAGAGTATAGGCCAAACAATAAAGAAGCATGAAGCAGGCAGCAAACAGACAGCCTTCTGGAAGGCCCCAGAGAAAATGACAGAATAGTACTAACTCTTTTCATATAAATGAGTCTGTTTGTTTGTTTCTTCAATTGAAAAATGCTTTGTAATTAGGCACGTTTTAGGTAATGCAGTCTCACAGACATTATTGAATATAAATATTTTGAGAGTAGGTGTTCAGTGTTTCTGACTCCTTCATAACACTTAAATTACTCTTAATGAGACTGAAATGTGAGGTATGAGGAAGTCGCTCAGAATCGTATCCAATGAGGTTTCGCTTAGTGGGGAGTGGAGTCCAGCTGGGTCCACTCGGCACGGCGGCCACTGACTGGCCTATTGTAGCCTGCCCCGGGTGATTATAATGATGGAGAATTTGGTGGAATAAAGACTGGCAGGGGAAACCGAAGTACTGGGAGAAAACCCGCCCCAGTGCCACTTTGTCCACGACAAATCCCACTTGACCAGACCCGGGATCGAACCCGGACCGCCGCGGTGGGAAGCCAGCGACTAACCGCTTGAGCTATGGCACGGCCTAAATAACGAGGTTTGGTTTGGTGGTGTTTGGGTTTTGCTACTACAATATTAGTTGCAGACATGCAGGTTGCAGAAAAGCTGATATCACAATAAATTTGTGTCCAAAAATCTACGTCTGATTTCTTCGTAAGAGTGAGACGTTAGCGTGAACTGAGGCAGCGATACGGATTCCACGACGCCCGTGCCCACCCGGAACCTGAGGTTGGGCGAAGACGTTAAGCGCTACCCTCAGGCTGCTTGGGCAGGCACCCGACCGGCGATGGGTGAGTACGTGAAGAAGGAAAGCAGCTCTCTTCACCCACTGGACTCAGGGCCCCTACCGCATTCCTCGTTCCACGCTCTGCTCTCCTACCAAATGGTATTCACAACATACCACGCAGTGTCGGCTCCAGCGTCAAGGTTCCTCGCCAGGACGAACAGTCTCTTCCCAGGCCTGTACATGTACCGCCTCGGCATACCTACTCCTTCAATTTGTCCGCTCAAAGTATCCGCATAAAATCAAGTGAAAGAATTGAAAAGGCCTGCTGCAAGCATATCACAGGCTTTCGCTACATCTATTTGCCACTCGGTGAACTAGGTCTTTTGTGAACTTCCATAACCGTCTATGAACAAAAAAACAACAAACTCCGTGGCCTGCAGTCCGCAAGCGAACTATACCGACCGAGCGACCGCCGCTTGTCGGCGAAGTTAGTGCCAACTTTAGCGGATAGTGGGTGTCGCGAATCCCCACGACCCTTAATTTCGGTTTTCTAGACCGGAGCCGCTATTTCGTTGAAATAGCTCCTCAATTATCCTCACGAGGCTGAGTAGATCCCGATCCAGACTCACTACTTCTCTAAAAATCTGATAGCACCGGGAATCGAACCCGGACCTCTGGACCTGTAGTCAGGAACTCTGGCCACTAGACCACAGAGGCGGTCTATGAACAACGCTATCCGAATTTGCAGACGTATTGTAGCCGCAGAAGTATGCCAGCTGGTAAAGGTAAGGTAAATCAACTAGCAGGCCATGAAGATGTATGCGACATGGAGGTATAGCTCCATCATTCTTGACCTTGGCATTAGAGGAAGGAGAGTGGTTAGCATCACACCCCGGCCGCTTTATCCCCGGGAAAAGAGGCCTCAATTACCCATTGTACAGGAGACCCGGTTTGGAAGCTGTGGAATAGAGAAAAATCTCTTACAAAGTTAATAAAAAGCAGAAACAATTCAAAAAAATCTCTTACCCTTGCCGGGAATTGAACCCCGGTCGTCCAGCCCATAGTCTTTTGCTATACTGTGTAAGCTATCCCGTAAAGGGAAATTACTGGCTGTGCTTAATCACACAATGAATGGAGTGTACTCAGTTTCATCCTCTGGCTTCTTAACCCCATACGAAAGATCGTCCGTCCCCACTGGATATAAGGCTCGGTGGGTCCATAGCCAATCTGGACGTGGTGAAGAGAAAACAGCTTGGCTCCGCCGTCCAGCTCTTGGGTTTTCCTTCCTGTGATTTGAGTTTAAAAGAAAAACAGCATAAGAGTCTTACATGCATTGCCACGTAAATTGTATACAAACAACATCAGTGACAAGAGGACTTAAACGAGTTCAAACTGGATGAAATCTATCTATCTATCTATCTATCTATCTATCTATCTATCTATCTATCTATCTATGTCTATGGCTCTACAGCCCTTGTAGACTTTGGCCGCTTTTTCAATTTCTTACGCCGTAGCGTAGTTGGTTGAGGTACTAGCCGGGAGATGGCGGGTTCGAGTCCCGATGAGGTGGATTTTTTTCAATTTACTTAATTCTTCTACTTGCACAATGGCCCTGGGGTCTACTCGGCCGCTAACAGAAATAAGCACTAGGAATCTTCCTGGGGGGGGGGGGAAAGAACGACATGCGCGTAAGACTGAAAACCTTAGCGCCATGTATAAGACGATTGTCTAGAGAAAATGTGGGAGCCTCGGCGTCTCACAACCCTATGGGCCTTCATTCACGGCCTGTTACAGGGATAGCTTTACCTTATCTTTTTAATCCAAACAAAAGCGGTAGAACTCCTTGGATGGGGGATCAGCCCGTCGCAAGGCCGCTACCCACACACAGGACAACACAAACAGAACAAACGCACACAGACATCCATGCCTTGAGTGGGATTCGAACCCACGATCCCAGTGTTCGAGCGAGCGAAGACGGTTCATGTCTTCGACCGCGCAGCCACCGGGACCGGCGGATGAACGCTGCTAAGCTAATTTAAAGAATTATCTAAGAATGCGTTTGAAGTGAATTATTGAAGGCAAGGAAAAACCCATAATCATAACAGGCTAGATTGCAGCCTGAACTTCGCACCGTGACCTTCGGTAATACACGTTTCCATGTATACTTCCATTACTAAGGAAAGGTCGCAGATCTGAAACAATTAAAGTCGCAGCTGATAAGCAGGTGGAAACCAGTACAGATGGCACATTGGGTTAGCCCATCTGATCGCTCATGGCTTTCCTCAAGGGCTCTGCTGCGTGGAGTCGGTCCTCTAAGTGACATTGTTCATTGTGACAAATGCGCAGTGTCGTTGAATGCAAGTCAAACGAGTTCGTTCATCTCGAAATGTACGTGGTATATATACATACGCGGACGTTGTGTAAACATTTTGAGGGGATTAGTACCGAAATTTTAAAACACTCAGTTCTGGAAGAACTAATCACCTACTTTCTATTGATACGACACGGTCTGCATAGAAAACGATGCATCCAACAAGTCTTCTGTTTTTACGAGTGTATTCCTTGCCGCGGTAACGATTTGCCGAGCCGTTGCCTAGCAACGATAGGGGATACACATACAACCACACAGACTTATGGGAGGGATTTATAAGTACGCCATTGAGATGGGCTCAGGTGCCATGACATACATACCAAATTTCATAAAGACTGGTGCAGGCATTCAAAAGTTAGTAGGGGGGGCATTCACAGACACATTCACAGCATGGTAATCTCATAAGCCTCCTTTCACTCGCTCGTGGTACTGGGCCCTTCTTGAGAAGCTGCCAATTGTTCAGCTACTCATGAATTTCCCAGCATTTTATGGAACCCGAAGGTTCATTACCGTGTTCACAAGAGTCCTGCACTGGACCTTATCCTGAGCCAGATCAGTCCAATCCATACATTGTCCACCCACCTACGTCTTGGTTTTCCCAGTGGTCTCTTTCCTTCCGGCTTTCCCACCAATATCCTATCATTAAGTTCATGTCGGTGTACCAAATCAGTTGATAATGTTATTCACAAATTGTACTTCTCTTTGTGTTTGCTTCAGTAAGCAACGTTTTCTCAGCTGCATTTACTATTAACCCACTTGTCTTGGTCGTTAGCACAGTAGCTGCAATGATAAATTCCCCGAAGTGATGATAAAAGCAAATTCCACTGTAGCACGTGGTGCAGGTGTTGCGCGGCGGGACAAAGCGACCGTGTGCGCATGTTCTGGAACTTCGCTCCGCAATGCAAAACAGTTCAGGAATGAAACATGTAAACGTAGAGGAACTTGGGTTCATAAGGCAGAACAAGAATCACCAACATTCAACAAAGCGAACAGGCTGGTCTCGACATTAACGTTCTGGACTAGCATTCGGGAGGTGCTCGGTTTGAATCTCGGCCAGGTAACCGGCTATCCTGACTGAGGTTTTTCTCAGTCTCTCCAGGCAAAATGCCGGGATAATTACCTTGGTAAAGCCATGGTCGCACCCTTCCAAATCCTTTCTAGGCCGTCCCCAGACAGCTATCATCAGCAGACGCTGTATCCTGCTGATGCTGTTGGAACGTGGCCTCAACGTGAGGCCTCTTAAGATGGTGTCCATTAACTGTTCAAACGTCTCTGGAGCGTGCAGAGGCTGGAGAACCACTGGGCTCCAGCCAGCTTGTCCGAGGAAGTGGGAAACAGTCTTCGAGACATCGTTCACTTTCCTGTAGTCCACGCAGAAGCGGAGGCTCCCGTTCTTCCGGACTAGAACGGCAGCTGATGCATGTCTATTCGAAAACCACACGTCGTTGCATGTCCTCGTGTATCTCGCCCACATCCGCCTGTTTCACTGG